CTCTTTGTGCTTTCAAGTTTCTCAAATTCCAAGAATAAGAGGAGGAGCTGTTATAAGCATACCCACTTCCCCTCCTTGTACAATAACACCACGCATTTGCAGTGTTGTCACTAGCAGCTACGCAGAATCATCGTGACTCTTTTTGTTGCTGTTGGTGGTGGTCATGGGGCTTGAACTCTGGTCTTGGGTGCTGTCCCTGAGCATTTCAGCTCAAGGCAAGCGCTCTACAACTTGAGCCACAGAGCCACTTCTGGTTGTTTGATCATTAATTGGAGATAAGAGTCTCACTGATTTTTCCTGCCTGGGCTGGCTTTGAACCGCAGTTCTTAGGCCTCAGCCTCCTGAGTAGCTAGGATTACAGGCGTGAACCACCAGTGCTCTTAAACTTTGTCAAAGATGAGCCATTGGGGCTTTGGGTGACAGCAGCTTCCAATTTAGGGGGAGGTGGGGTGGTAAAGAAGCAATTGGGTTTGAAAACAATGTTTTTGTTTTTTTCCCCTAAGTCTAATCTTTTTTCTAGCTTAAATACATTCCAACCTGGCACTAGGTGGCTACACAGGAGTCTAAGATCTGAGGATCACAGTTCAAAGACAGCCCAGGCAGGCTGTCCTGAAGAGTCCTTGAAAACTCTTATCTACAATTAATCATCAAAAAGCCAGAAGTGGAGCTGTGACTCAAGTGGTAGAGTACCAGGTGTGAAAAAGTCAAGCAACCTGGGCACTGGTGGCTCACACCTGTAATCCTAACTACTTAGGAGGCTGAGATCTGAGGATCACAGTTTGAAGCCAGCTGGGGGAGAAAAGTCCTCATAAGACTCTTAGATCCAATAAACCACTCAAAATCCAGCAGTGGTGCTGTGGCTCGAGTGGTAGAGTGCTAGCCTTGAGCACAAAGAGGTTCAGGGACAGTGTCAAGGCCTTGGGTTCAAGCCCTACAGCTGATAATAAAAAGAAAAAAAAAAGCAAGAACATGAGGCATTGAATTTATGCTTAATATTGACCTGTCTGTGTGTACACACGAGCGTGCTCTATTGTATGATATCTTGGCTAAGCAATGTAATCTCATTGAGTCTTATGTTTCATTCGTTAAAAGGAATGATAATGCATCCCCTATATAGGTCAATGAATCACATAGAACATGGGCCTGGCAAACTCCATCATTAAATGTCCAAGGGCTCCCTCCAGCTTGTCTCCCAGTGCCATTCTCTATGTCTTCTTATGTGCCTTTAACAGAGCTCACACAGCCCTACACTGCCTCTGCAACGTGCTACCAGAGTCCTGTCTCTGTTCCTTTGTTGTCTTGTCTGGGCTGCTAGACTGTGCTCTAAAGTTTTTGACAACATAATTCAGACTGTGCTTTATAGGGGAGCTCACTTGTCAACAGCCTGACCTTGACAACACTGTCATGTCTTTAGTCAGTAGTTCATAAGGTCAGCATTCCATCCGATACCATTATGTCTAGGGAACTTTTGGTTAATGACTATCACTCCTTATATAGGTGCCTTGTACAGAAATGATTCATTCCCAGGAGCAGTGGTTTCTATAAATGACAATCCACAGACGAGTGCGGAAGAATCTCCCAAATTGCTTCCTATAATGCAGATCTTTGGACTGTGCAGGTTTGGATGGTCTTATAAATCTGGGTGTAGAGACAGATGGAATGTGATAAGCATGGGTGGGGCTCTGGAATCAGTGTATCCAACAGGATCCTGGTTGATTTCAATGATGATAATGAATTGCCAGGTTGGGAACTGCTCTACCCAGTAAACCTAACAGAAGCTCTGTGGGGTAGTAGAGGCTCATGCTGAATAGCGATGCCTCAGGATTGTGATCATGGTTCCTACTTTACCTGTGTTGCTTCCGTAAGTGGAGAATACTTTTATTTCACTTATTTATTTTATTTTATTTTTATTTTTTTGGGCCCGGTCGTGGGCCAGAACTCTGGGCCTGGGCGCTGTCCCTCAGCTCTTCAGCTTAAGGCTAGCACTCTACCACTTGAGCCACAGCGCCACTTTGGCTTTTTTTCCTGCTTATGTGGTGCTGAGGAATCGAACCCAGGGTCTCATGCATGCAAGGCAAGCGCTCTACCACTGAGCCACCTTCCCAGCCCCAGAGAATACTTTTATTTCAATATCCAACAGGTGCTAAGTTCTGTCTATATACATACATGAGCTGTGTTTTTAAGAACCTTTGGGAAAAAAGTATTCTCAGTTGGCAGGAGAAATCTGAGGATCTAAGGAATTTAGTTTGTGGCTGCTTCAACAGCAGAGCTGGAATCTGATCAATCTCTCAACTGGCTACCACTCCATCACTTTTCTAATTACTAGAGGGCATGAGCTGGCAGTCTGTATCTGGCTTGCACATTTTATTAATTAGTTTATTTATTGAGATGGAGATTGCTATATTGTTCAGGTTGGTCTTGAACTTTTTTTTTTTTGCCAGTGCTGAGGCTTTGTTGAATGAACTCAGGGCCTGGGCACTGCCCCTGAGCTTCTTTAGCTCAAGGCTAGCACTCTACCACTTGAACCACAGCACCACTTCTGGATTTTTCTGTTTATATGGTACTGAGGAATTGAACCCAGGGCTTCATGCATGCTAGGCAAGCACTCTACCACTAAGCCACATTCCCAGCCCTGGTCTTGAACTCTTAGGTTCCAGTGATCTTCCTACCTCAACTTTCCAAGTGCTGGCAGTTCAGGCATGGACCACTGTATCCAATTTGCAAGTACGTTTTGATTTGGATAGTATGTTTAAAACTGTTAACAGCCAGGTGCTGGTGGCTCATATTTGCAATCCTAGTTACTCAGAAGGCTCAGATCTGAGGATCACGGTTCAAAGCTAGCCTGGTCAGAAAATCTGTGAGCCTCTCATCTCCAATTAATCACTAGAAAACTGGAGGTGGAGCTGTAGCTCAAAACAGTAGAGCACTAGCATTGAGTGAAAGAGCTCAGAGACCAGTGCTCAGGCCCTGAGTTCAAGCCCAACTGACAACAAACAAACCAACAAAAACTACCCAAAATGGCTGGGAAGGTGGCTCAGTGGTAGAGTGCTTGCCTTGCATGCATGAGGCCCTGGGTTTGATTCCTCAGCACCACATAAACAGAAAAAGCCAGAAGTGGTGCTGTGGCTCAAGTGGTAGAGCGCTTGCTTTGAGCTGAAGAGCTCAGGGACAAAGCCCAGGCCCAGAGTTCAAGCTCCATGACTGACAAACAAACAAACAAAACCCACAAAAGATAACACCCAAAAAACAACTGCTACCAATTAGGTACTAGGGAAGGATGTATAGCGAAGTTGCAGTGTGAGTGCTTAATATGCAAGAGGTGCTGAGTTCAGTCCCTAGGACTCCCTGTCAAATGATTACCCACATTTCCAAATTGGCTATTTTGTATTAGTATTTTGATTTTCTTTGGGATAGAACTGAGGACATCCCACTTGCTAGGCAAGGGCTCTACCACTTGAGGTATGCCCCCATTTGGATTTCTGACTTCTTTTTAGAAGGAACAAGGGAAGACCTGATTGACACCAAGCCTCACATTTTCCCACAACAATCAGTTGGTGCTTTAGATGCATGCCTGCCTAGAATACAGTCTCTACTGCTCTTCATTCTTACCCATGGCCACAGGGAATCTTACTCTTTATTCCCAACCCAGTTTTTAAAGGTCAAGATTGCATGCCATGCCTGCAGCCTTCTCTGCTGTCTTGCTTCCTACTGGTCAGAAGTTTGCCAAACCTAAAGACAGCATTTTGTTGTTGTTGCTGTGTTCCCTATGTCTCTGATCACAGAGTTGTATATGCATATCTGACTTCAATACTAAGTGATCTTCTAGTTTTCATAAAAGAATATGGGGATTCCCTGTTCCTCAAGTTACACATTCTTGTTTATCCTAGAAAAATTCTAAATTCAGCCTTTAAGTTAGCTGGGGAAAATTACAGCAAATCATCCACTTGCTCTAATGCAAGGTGCTGACAAGAATGAAACCACAGCGAGCAATGCCACCAAGTGGTGGAGTGATTTGATGCAGAATTGCCACCAGTAGTCAGGAGAGAGAGGGGGAGGGGGGAGGAGAGAGGGAAAGAGAGAGGACCTCACTCAAATTATAGGGCCATTCAGAAACTAGAAATAATAATGCAGGCCTAGGACTAGGGGTGTGGTTCATGTGGTAGAGCACCTGTCTAACAAGTGTAAAGCCCTGAGCTCAAATCTCAGTACTGAGGTGTAGGGGGGTGGGGTGGGGGGGAAGCTTGCACTTTTCCATAAGCTAGTTCTTCTGAGGTTCTCTTTTTTTTTAAACCACCTTTTGGATCCATTTTCTGTTTGTTTCTTTCCTTAAGCATGCAGCCATTTTCAAAAAGTGTGAGCAGGGAGCTATTAACTTCTTTTAATATCAGCATAGCAAGGAGGTTAAAACATATTAAAAGCTCCCCAAATTTCTCTTTGAAAAACAAGACTGAACCTCTTGAGGGTAGGATTTCACATGCATTGAGCACTTAGGAGGAAATAAAACTACTTTAGAGTGAAGAACTGACAACTCCAAATCTTCGTTCTCAGCCGCCTTGCCAGTGACCCCTGGGAGACCTGTCAGAAGGAAAACCAGGAACATCCCTAGTTTTTCTGTGTATTCTAGAAACCTAGGCCATTTTGAAGACACAAATGAGAATTTTTCTTCTTTTTCCTTTTCTCTCCTCATCAGCATAGAAACTGTTGTGGGCACTTGCCAATAAGTTGCCAGTTCACTCTCAGCTCCCCACTTCAATGCCTTCTGAATAATTTTCTAAAAGGAATAGTTTTCTGAAAGGAACATGAGTAGCTTGAGGGATGATGGCTGAGGCAAGATCATCAGTTCAAGGCCAACCTGGGCTTGAAAAATTAAAATGACCTGGTCACTTCAAGTATCCTGTTCTACTGTCCACACATTTCTATCCCCTCAGAGGTGAAGTTTTACCACTCTGAAAGTCATAGTCATTATTCACACAAGAGAATTAAAACAGGATCACAGAGAGAAAGGCTGAGAAGTCGATTTTTTTGTTTACTTGTATGAGGAAAACAACACATGGGCATCCACAGTATTTAATTTGTTTGGGTAATAGTTACAGATAAACAGATACACTCCATATATAATTACCAATACGTTTTATACAGTTCATATTTCAGTACAACACTATTTTATTTACACTCTATTTATGTACATTAACGTCTTTCTAAAGTCAGTGCATTGTCAACAAGTTTTATACAGAAATTTACAAGGTGAATGTAAGTTAATAGTTAATTTAATAAATTTTCTGCTAGTTCATGAATTTAAAAAATTAATTACAACCAATATAACAAACACAGATCAAACAACATTAGTAGATTGTGCTACCTGTTTAAATAAAACATCTGTAAGGAAATTATTTAAAATCTACTTTTTTCATGGGACTTGTCTAGGTAGAAATGGACAGATTGGATACACTGAAAATCTTGAGACTACAATGTATGCATTTTGACTTCATTACATTAAATCATTTGGCCATTCCTTCCTACTTGCAATTATATTCTTCTGAAAAAAGTTCCAACTTAGGAAGCCACTAAAGGCAACCTTTCTAAATGCTCTGGGAAGAACTAGTAGTTACTGGCCTCAGATATCACAACACGAATGCTTAATTACACTGGCATTTACTACCCATGAGGAAGGAAGGTTCAAAGGAGCTGACTGTGAGAATTAACTTCTAGGGTCCAAATAAAATTTTTTAAAAAGAAGAACAAAAAATAAGGAGAAACATTTCCTTTGAATAGATATTAAAACACAACACAGGAAAAAAATGCTGCTTGAAAATAAATAACATTCATTTTTGTTCCAGTCTTGAATAATCAGAAGAAAAATGATATAAGCAAAGATACAACTTTTGATAACTAGTGCAAAAAAAAAAACAACAAATCAAGAACAAACAAAACAAAAAACCTAAATAAAAAAATAAATGGATGTGCAAACCAAACAGTTTACTTTCTAAACTCACCAATTTCATTAAAACTACACTAACTATCAAGGTTTGGGATGTGTTTTGTTTTTAAATTTTTATAAGATGGGGAAAATACCCCCAATCAAGTTAGTTTATAGCCCTTAGAGCCATCAAAATGTAAGTCTGTTTGCATGTATTTTCTTTTTTAAAGTGCAAAACAAGAAACAGGGAGAAAAACCACCACTAATGTGAAACACCATCTAACTCTGACGCCACATACTCTCCTAGAACCTCTGTGCAACACGTGCATGGGAAGATGGTGCAAACACTGGCAACCACCCTGCCACACTCACAGTGTGTGGGGGAGAAAGTTTTGAGGACACTTGGAGTATCCTACAAGAAGGGATGCCTTTATCAGCGCAGCCATTTTAACTGGCTTTCACAGATGCTTTTTCTTTCTCCTGGATCTTCCAACTAAGACCCTGGCCCAAAGGACATAGCTTTTTAAGAGATTATCCCTCTCAGATTGACCACTAATATGTCTCTGCCACCAATGACTGGTTGTGTCTCAAACACAAACACAGTAACAGAAAGCAAGAAAGACTTAGGAAGAGTGGGGAAATGGGTTTAAAAGATGAAAACTCTGTGTTCATGGCATGAGAGTCATTTGCATACCTTTCAAGATCTTGCTTTCTTATTTTGTCAATATAACTTCAGGGAAAAGGAGGTAGCATATCATGTCGTCCTAGACAACACTACAATTAAAAAAAATTTTTTTTTTTACCTTGACTCTAAGGAAATCCTTAGTATTTTGTTATGATTATTGGTAAACTCTATCCTCACTACAAGTCTGTTCATATCTGGACAAGCACAATTGAATTCTTATTTGGTCCCAGGTGGTTGGTGCCAAACCCTTTTGTTTAGAGGCTAATGGTAGAATCTGCCTAAAGGTTTTCAACCAGAGAGACTTCAAAAGAAAATGGTTATTCTTCTTAAGCTTCACTGCTATTTTAATTAGGATTTCTCTTTTGTGCTTCAGGGTCACAGAATAAAATAACTACATTTAGCCTGCCTTTCAGTGATGCTTTTGCCAAATGTCAGCTACAAGGAGTCATCTCTCCCACACCACCAGCCCATCTAGCAGCGCAGCAGTAGCCTTCACTGTAACACACAGTACTTTTTGTAATCAGACTCAAAGTCTTCGTCCATGCTGCTCGTGTCTGCCATCTTTTTGCCATCAATCTTTGGCAGAAATTGTGCATAGTCTATCCCCCGCTGCTCATAGAAAAGAATGTAGGCAGAGTCAGTGTCAATTTCATCAGGGTGAAGTTCCTAAAGGGCAAGAAAAGCCTTTAATATACAAGTTATCATGGTATTGGCTCTTTGTTGTTTTTTTTTTTTTGTGCCAGTCCCGGGGCCTGAACTCTGGGCCTGGGTGCTGTCCCTCAGTTTTTCAGCTCAAGGCTAGTGTTCTACCACTTGAGCCACAGTGCCACTTCTGGCTTTTTCTACTTGTGTGGTGCTGAAGAATTGAACTCAGGACCTCATGCATGCAAGGCAAGCAATCTCACTGAGCCACATTCCCAACACCATGGCATTGGCTCTTAATCCTAGCTAGGGCAAGGAAGACCAGCCCTCTCTAATGAGTGAACCTAATTGCTTCCATTCAACTTAGTATGTCTGCTGCTTCACACCTGCCCTGAAAATGAACTCCGTTCTTTCTTTATTTTTGGGTCTGGTTGTGGGGCCTGAACTCTGGGCCTGGGTGCTGTCCCTCAGCTCTTCAGCTCAAGGCTAGCGCTCTACCACTTGAACCACAGCACTACTTCTGGCTTTTTTCTTTTTGCTTATGTGGCGCTGAGGAATCGAACCTAGGGCCTCATGCATGCAAGGCAAGCGCTCTACCACTGAACCATCTTCCCAGCCCCTAATTTTTTTTTTTAATGCTGGTACTGCAGATTGAATTCAGGGCCTCACTTTCTTGCTTGGCTTTCTTGCTTAAGGCTGGTGGCTTTACCACTTGAGCCACACCCCCAACTTCTGGCTTTTTGCTATTTAATTGGGAATATGAGTTTCTGTCTGCATGGCTTCAAGCCAGGATCCTCAGATGCCAGCCTTCTGAGTAAATAAGATTGTAGCCATGATCCACTGGTGCCAAGCTGAGCCCCATTATCTTTAATAATTATTTTAGGGGAAAATATGTTCTAAAATCCTATCGAACTTTAATGTTTCAAAAGATTGGGTAGAGCCCAGCCCTCAGTAGAGTACTTGTCTAACATGCATGAATCCTTAGGCTTGATACTCAGCACCACAAAAAACAAAGCCAAAACACTCTCCCCACCCTAAAATTCCTGTCTCAAAACTCTGAACATTCAAATCTTTTTTCCCATTTCTTTCTTTCTTTCTTTCTTTTTTTTTTTTTTTTTGCCAGTCCTGGGGCTTGAACTCAGGGCCTGGGCACTGCTCTTGAGCTTCTTTTGCTCAAGGCTAGTGCTCTACCACTTGAGCCATAGCACTACTTCTGGCTTTTTCTGTGTATGTGGTTCTGAGGAATCAAACCTAGGGCTGCATGCATGCAAAGCAAGCACTCTACCCCTAAGCCACATTCCCAGCCCCTTTTTCCTCATTTTTCATGTTCTCATTCCTCTCCCAGCATTTCACTTTTGTTCCCTTACTAACCATCTATACACCAACCCTAACAGAAACATCTACGTCCTATCCAAGAGAAAGCTTATTACTTTAACGATGTTTCCCAGCTTTGTTAACATTTGGTTTCTATATTTCATACAAAGACTGTGAATATTTACCTTACAGCTGCTGTCATTGTAACAGTACCACTTGCAGTTTGGGTTTTTGGCGTAAGTCACGTAATGGCCCCCACCCAGGATTCCTGAATGGCACTAAAAAGATAAGAGAGTGGCAGATGTTAGTAGTTACTACCATGTCAGGGAATAACATGATGATCTGAACAAGAGAACAGCGATTACTTAGGTGGGTACAAAAGAAAAAATGATTTGGAACCATCTATTTTTTCCCCCAAGAACAAAAGAAAAACCCAAACGTTTTAAGTCTAAATGTTGTGTTGACAAACATCCACTTTCTAGTCAATTTTTTTAAAAAACAGGGTCTTGCTATATAGCTCAGGACGTCAACTTGAGGTTCTATCTCATCTTCCCAAATGTTGGGATTATACACATGAGCTACTATGCCTGATTCTCTAATATATATATATATATATATATATATATATATATATATTTATGTTGATCATGTGGCCTGAACTCTGGGCCTGGGCTCTGTCCCTCAGCTCTTCAGCTAGAACTCTACCACTTGAGCCACGGTGCCACTTCTAGCTTTTTCTGCTTATGTGGTGCTGAGGAATTGAACCCAGGGCCTTGTGCATTCAAGGAAGGCCTCTACCACCGAGCTACCTTCCCAGCCCCATATTAGATGGGGCTTTTTAAAAAGCAAAAATTCCTTAGAAGCACACAATAATGATTTGAACTTCTGACTCCACTTTTTTTCCATGATCTTTAAGTGTTTTTTTTTTTAATTGTTTTAGAGGTGACATACAGCAAGGTTAACTTTACATATATCAAGTGATATATACATTTCATTCCTTTTGCTTAGTATCAGCAGTTCCTTCCTTCTCTTTCATTCTTTTTTTTTTTTAAATGCCTGTCCTAGGGCTCAATTGAACTTAGGGCCTTTTTGGTGCTGTCCCAGAGTGTTTTCTCTGCTTAAGACTAGTGTTCAACCAAGTCCAGAGTTCAAGCCCCACGACCGACCAAAAAAAAAAAAAGACTAGTGTTCAAATGCTACCATTTGAGCCAAGCTCCACTTCCAGCTTTTTGGTGGTTAACTGGAGATAAGGGTCTCATGAACTTTCCTGCCAGGGCTAGCTTTGAACCATGGCCCTTAGATCTCAACTTCCTGAGTAGCTAAGATTACAGGTGTCAGCCACCAGCACCTGGCTTGACTCCACTTATAAATTATGTGACCACCTCAATATCATACTTCAAGATCCTTGGGTTCTACCCAGAAGGCCAAGATTTCTTTATTAACTTTTGTCTATCATCAATCTTTATGCTTCACAAATAAACAAGTCTTTAAAAAACTCTTATTGATGACATGAACAAACTACTAAAAAGTACAGACTATGAAAACCAACAACAAATCACTTACTGAAATTGCATATAGATTATAAATAGGTTTCATATGACTATCTTCTCTTTGGTCATCAGTGCTGTCCTCTTCACTGTGGTTTCCAAGTTGACCATTGCTGTAGCCATTGCCACATGCCTCATGCTCATAAAGAAATCCATTGGCCAAAGTGACTTCATGGTCCTGAGGGGTGACCAGCTCCAGCTGGCTGCCTCCCAGCATATGCCCTCTGCTCAAGGTCTCAGTCAGCTCACAGATCTGCCCAGCCCCATTCTCTCTGCTGGCATCCAAGTTCTCCTTACTACTTGACAACTTATTTTTGCTACCTATCTGAGGCAGCCGGAGCCTCCCTTTGCTCCTCCCCAAAGTCCGTGGGCTACTGTTTGGGCTGCTGTTTTTGCTGGAGGGACAGCTAGTTCCACCTTTCCTTGATGAAGAAGGAGAACCTGTGAAGTGAGAGGGATATTTCTAAGTCCAAATACCACAAGTCAGATACCAAAGGCTATATTTGAAACTAGTGTCACAAATGCACACATAAAGTCAAAGCCAGGGGAGTCCTGACTGGCTACTCTAGCTCCTACAATAGAACTAAAAAGTAAGTTAGGCTAGAAATATCCTGAAAATGTAAAAGTTCTTGTAGGGCTTTAGAAAATAACAAAGATAAATTAAACAATCTTCAATTCTAAATAAACAATATGATTATTAGACTAGGGAGTTTTATACATAGATATTCTTCTTCATAAAGGTAGATAGAAAAATATGACTAGGGGTGGGAGGGGGGTGGGAGATGGGAAGGGGAAACAAAGGAGGAGTCAACAATACTTGATAAGAAATGTACTCATCTTGCTCATGTAATTGTAACCCCTCTATACAGTATTTTCACAATAAAATAAATTTTTTTTTAAAAAAGAAAAAAAATACAGGAGTGACCCATTGGCACTGGCTTCCAGTGCACTTTTTGAGAATGAAGATAAAAAATCATAGGGCTGGGGATATAGCTCAGTGTTAAAGAGTATTTGCCTAGCATAAACAAAGCTGTGGTTTCAATCTTATCTGTGGATTCTGCATCAATGGATTCAATCACAGATCAAAATTACTTGAAAAATGATTGCATTTCTTTTGCGTTAATATGTTTTGTCATTTTTTCTTTTTTTTGGGGGGGGGGTCTGGTCGTGGGGCCTGAACTCTGGGCCTGGGCGCTGTCCCTCAGCTCCTCAGCTCAAGGCTAGGGCTCTACCTCTTGAGCCACAGCGCCACTTCCGGCTTTTTTCTTTTTGCTTATGTGGTGCTGAGGAATCGAACCCAGGGCCTCATGCATGCAAGGCAAGCGCTCTAC